TCTCTCTGTCTCTTAATAATAAGTAAAATGTTAAAAAAAATTATATTCTTGGGGCGTCTTGGTGGCTCAGTCAGTTAAGCGTCCGACTTCCGCTCAGGTCATGACCTCACGGTTTGTGAGTTCAAGCCCTGCATTGGGCTCTGTGCGGACAGCTCAGAGCCTGGAGCCTGCTTCGGATTCTGTGTCTCCCTCTCTCTCAGCCCCTCCCCACTTGCCCTCTCTCTCCCTCTCTCAAAAATAAATTCAAAAAAATTTTCTTAATTTAAAAAAAGAGAGAAAATAAGTTAAACAAAAAGGTGACACTTAGGATGCCATCAAACTCTGTAGTAAAGTCTTCAAATACGTAGAGAATACAACAGCTATTTTGGAAAGAATGCTCCTACAGGTGCAGCTCTGAGGTCAGTGGAGTGAGTTTGAGGCATTTTGTTTGTGGGAGCCCTCAGCATAATGTCTGGCTCAAAGACGCCTTCAAGAAACATTGGCCAATGAGGTCTGTTTAAGAAAATGAGAAAACCGTGGTTCAGATTTCCCTTGGCAGCTTCTTTTCTTCTCCAAAGAAATCTGGATCACCCAACTTATCCCCTAAAGCCTTCTTTTTTTTTTTTTTAATTTTTTTTTTAATATTTATTTATTTTTGAGACAGAGAGAGACAGAGCATGAAGGGGGGAGGGGCAGAGAGAGAAGGAGACACAGAATCGGAAGCAGGCTCCAGGCTCTGAGCCATCAGCCCAGAGCCTGACGCGAAGCCTTCTTAATTCCTAAGAAGGCAAACCCAATTCTTTAAATTAAAAAGTTAATTACCATTTATTGAAGTTCCTGTCTTCATTTTAGGTGGGTTAACTGGTGATTCGGGAGAGTTGGATGCTCTCACGTGGTATGTGAGCACATCATAAACAATGACTGATCCATATATATGGTATATGGAGGCCCATTTTAAGGGACTTTAAAGTTTCAGACCTTAATTAATTATAGGAGGCTATTGTTGGATCATCTTTGTGATTTAGTTGCTGCCGACTTCTTAATCAGACACACAACCTCCAGTTATTCTATTGTTATTATAAGAAAATATAACCCACTTACAATATGATTATCAGAGGGGCGCCTGGGTGGCTCAGTCGGTTAAGCGGCCGACTTCGGCTCAGGTCATGATCCGCGGTCCGTGAGTTCAAGCCCCGCGTCGGGCTCTGGGCTGTTGGCTCAGAGCCTGGAGCCTGTTTCGGATTCTGTGTCTCCCTCTCTCTGACCCTCCCCTGTTCATGCTCTGTCTCTCCCTGTCTCAAAAATAAGTAAACGTTAAAAAAATTAAAGAAAAAACAAAACAATATGATTATCAGAAATATACCTTGGTAGAGGGCAGGGATTGTTCATCATCACATGAGCTATTAGATGCTATGTGGATAGTTTTGAGGAAGGGATGAGTGGAGGGTGGAAATACCCCCTATCCTGGAGGTGGCTGGGTTTTGAGCCTAACTTTCATGGCATAACATTACTGCTCTCATTTCTTTTTTTGTTTTTGAGTATGTATATGTGATTACACGAATACTTGTCAAGGACCAGACAAGAGAGGATCATTAGGTTTCAACTTGTCTGCCAAAGGTGATAGATCAATTGGTAGTGGCTCCTTGGGCTACTGGGTTGAAAGTAATTCTGAAATCAAATCCACGTTGAAAGGGAAAGGGTAGCAAGATGGATTAGTAATTTCTTAGAGCACGTGAGACGAGGGAATGGACGCACAATGCCAGGCATTTGCTAAGATCCCCTTAGACCCGTTAAAAGTTTTTCCAAAAATTTATTTGAGTATAGTTGACACACAGTGTTACATTAGTTTTAGGTGTAAAATGTAGTCATTCAACTTCTCTGTACGTTATGCTATGCTCACCACAAGCGTGGCTACCGTCTGTCACCATGGACCCTTATTACAATGTCATTTCGACATTCCCTATGCTGGACCTTTCATCCCTGTGACTTATGCATTCCATAACTGGAAGCCTGTATCTCCTACTCCCCTTCACCCATTTGCTCATCCCTCCACTCCCCTCTCCTTTGACAACGATCAGTTTGCTTTCCACAGCTTTGGGTCTATTTCTGCTTTTTGTGTGTTTCTTTGTTTTGTTTTTTAGATTCCATTATGAGCCTATGAGTAAAATCATCTGGTTTTTGTTAGACTCTTTTTTTGACAGACAAGCACTCTGGGTTAGCCAGTAGGCTTTATACTAGTCATAGGAAGTGCTGTTTCTTTTCTAAACAGCTGTGTGCCCATGTTGGAAATTCAGTGTGTGGTACAGAGCCTGGGGACCTTGGGCTAGGAGTCCCAATGGAGAGATTCCCTAATAAAATGAAGCATTTAATTTCACTAAGGTCTGCACAGTCCTTCCCATCTAAGGCTGAATGATTGGTATCCATTACCAATTATTCTATTTTTTTCATTCATATTAAAGAGGTTTTTGTGTGTGTGTGTGTGTGTGTGTGTGTGTGTGTGTGTGTGAGGTATTTGAGTACGTAGTGCAAGAGGCCACACTCTGTTTCAGAGAACAATGGTCGAGGTCCAACCTTTATGTTTAGGCTTGTGCTCAGCTGTCCTTTAGAAAGCTGCACAGGACATGACCATTCTCTGTCCTGTTATTTCCCACCATTTAGCAGTGTGACACTAATAGATTGGATGTATTCTGTGAGAAAAGAGTCAGGATGACCATCTGACTGGGGGACCTGGGAGGACGGAGATGCCATTTTGAGATGAGGGTGACTGTACGAGGAGGGACAGATCATGAGCTCAGTTTCAGATGCCTACTAACTGTCCAAGTGGAGATGTCAGCAGCAATTGGATTTATGTGTCTGGAAATCAGAGGGGAAACATAGATCACATGTATAAATCTGGGAGTCATCAGCTTGTGGACAGAATTTAAAAGCATGGAAATGAATGAGATCACCAGGGTAATAAGTGTAGATAGAGAAGGGATCCAAAGACTGAGCTTTGGGGCAACTTCAAGATAAAGAACTCCAGAAAAGAGGAGGAAGCAGCAAGGGTTGGGAAAGAGCAGGGTGTAAAGTAAGAGGAAAGCCAGCAGAGTGCCCTGGTAGCCAAGTGAAGAGCGTTGCTTTGAGGAGGAGTCATTGACTAGGTCACTGCTGCGTAAAGGTCAAGCAAGGTGGAGACTGGAGAACTGGCTACCGGGTGGGGCTGTGTGGAGGTCATTTCTTTGATGGAATTCTGGGGAGGGGTGAAAGCTCAGCTGAAACGTGTTTAATAGAGAATGGGAGGGTGGGAAGTAGAAGTGTCCAGCATTACAATGTTGTTAGGAATTTTGCCATACAGAGGAAGTGATGGGGGAAAATGAGGTTGAGCACACCTGTATTTTTCAGACGGGAGAAATAATTGCACATTTGTGTGCTAGTGTCAAAGGCCCAATCAGGAGAAGGTGTTGATGATGCAGGAGAGAGAAGGAGCATGGCTGGGGTCATGTTCTTGGGTAGGCGAGAGGGAACGGGGTTGCGTGGAGGTGTGCAGGAGCTGGTCTGTGCCTGGAGAGCACGGTTCATCCGTAAGACTGGAAGATAAAAGAAAGCATGTTGATGTGATGGGAAGTGCTTCTGGAAGATCTCAGCAGCTTACAGACCCTTCAGTGGCTCCCTGTTGTGCCTTATGTCAAAGAGTCCATAAAGCTCAGCCTAGGATACAAGGACTTAAAATATAAACACTCTGGCCCCAGGTTATATCTCCTTCCTCATCTACTCTTGATCCTTGTGTTTTAAGTTTATTTATTCATTTTTGAGAAAGAGAGAGAGAAGGGGGAGAGACAGAGAGAGAAGGGAAGAGAGAGAATCCCAAGCAGGCTCTGTGCCGATAGCCTATCCGCTGATAGCTATCGGCACAGAGCCCCATGCGGGGCTCGATCTCACAAACCATGAGATCATGACCCGAGCCGAAATCAAGAGTCAGGCACTTAGCCATCTGAACCACCCAGACGCCCCCAAATGTGGTTCTGTGCATACTCTACATACACTTCTTATTGAACTATAACATGTATACATATGTGCACACCCACAAATCACAACGTGTATGTGTAGCTCTTTGTGTTTTCAAAGTGAACACACCTGTGTCAATAAATGGTGCCTCACTGGCCCCCTGAAACTCCACTCCTCTCGCTGCGATTGTCATGCAGAGGTAACCGCGATCCGGGCTTCTAACATCACGGATTACTTTTGCCTGTTTCTGAACTTCATGTAAATGGAATCGAACAGTGTGAACTCTTTCACGTCCCACATCTTTCACCCGCTTCGGATTTCTGTGCCGCGTTCCCTTTGTTAGCATGTAGCAATACTTCGCTCGTTCCCCGTTGCTGTGTTGTATTCCACTGTGTGAAGAATAGCCCACAGTTACTTCCCCATCGTGTTGTGGCTCGACGTTTGGTTTGTTGTTGGCTCCTGGCTCTGACAAACAGCCCCGTAGTGAAGGTTCCTGCACACACTGTTGAACCGTATACGCTTTTCTGCTGGACGTGTACCCGAGAGTGAGATGCTGGGTCATAGATTGAAGTGCTATGTGTATTTTGATCCTGTTACTGTTATGAAGCACGCCCAGGAGTATAATCCTAGACACTGGAACCCCACGGTCCAAGTCTCTGAGCTCCAAGGCGTCTGAGATGATTTGTCCGGCCCCTTCATTTTCATACGAGAAGCCTGACCCTCAGGCTGGGGAAGCGACGTTTGCAAAGTCACACCGCGAGGAAGTGGGTCCGTGCTCCAGGTCTCCTCATTTGGGGGCTAACGCTGGCCAAATACCTGTTAGTGTTCACACGAGGAAACTGTCCTCTCTGACCCAGGAATGGTCACATGCCGCTCCAATTTGTATAATGAGCACTACTGTTTACGAAGTACGTGCTCACTGCCATATACCTTGTGTCATATGTTTGCACGTGTCATGTGCTTACCTTGTATTATTCCCTCTAGTCTCTTTTGCACATTTATGTATTTATTTGTTTTTTCCTCTCCCTATTTTTCAGATGGAAAATGAACTCAGAGCGGATGAGTGGCCTGCTCAGGTTTCCACAGAAGGTGGCAGAGCTAGGATTTGAACCCTGCTTGTGACTACTTGAGAGGAAAAGGGGCAAACTCCTTAGAAAGTTATTGCTACTCCGGCACAGGTAGACCTTTCTTTACCTCACTCCCCGGGGCTCCTCCCAAGTATGGAGAGTCCAGTTTTCTATCACAGACGATGTGACTAAAAGAAGGCAATCGCAATGCAATTCTTTGTCTACGGCGTGGCGTCTGGGTGGCTCAGTCGGTTAAGCATCAGACTCTTGATTTCGGCTCAGGTCATGATCTCCCAGTTTGTGGAATTGAGCCCCGTGTCAGACTCTGCACTGACGGCGTGGAGCCTGCTTTGGCTTCTCTCTCTGCCCCTCCCCCGTGCACTCTCTCTTTCTCTAGCTCAAAAATAAATAACTAAACACTAAAAAAAAAAAAAAAAAAAACAGAAAGCAAGAAAGCAATTCAACAAGGCAAGCACGGAAAACACCTGCAGCTTTCCCTGTAGGGGCTGATACAGAATGCATCTGCTCAGAGCCATCATGATGATACTCATTTCTATTCAAAAGTTGTGGATGCGGTGAACACTTGCTCCTCAAGCTCTTCCCAAAAGTCCCTAGGACAGTGATGCTTGATGTTCAGAAATTAATTGAGCCCTGAAATTTCAGGGGAGCCAGGATGAGCTTCATTATTCCGTGAATCTTAGAGATATCCATCATCCATGGGCCCCCATCCCATATCCTGTATGCTATCTCAAAGAAGATAATAAAAGATAAGTGATCAGCATTAACATGCATTAGGCACTCACCCTGGGCCACGTGTGACTGACTAGCTGCGCTCACATGAATGACCTCATTCAGTCCTCCCAACAACGTTTCGAAGGAGGTGCTGTTACTATCCCCATTTTACTGATGAGGAATTGGATGCTTCCAAAGATGAGAAAACCTGCCCCAGGGTACACAGTAAGTGAATGAGCGGGGGCTTCACCTAGGGCCCCCATGGCAGCCAAGCTCTAATCTTGTTCGTGGCCCTGACGCTCGGGTGCACAAAAGGTGCTTGTTTACTGACACCTCCCCTTGATTAGGGTTTTGGTTTTTTTTTTTAAGTCATTCCTTTGGGGGTGTTCACAGTTTATCACAACCGCCAGAAGCTAACCGAGTGAAGCCTGTGTTCTCGAGGACAATTGTCCCCTACCTTCCACCTTGGAAAGAAGAGGGATTTTTCTTCTCATTGAGATCTCTTTAAATAACCTGCTTAAAAAAGAGATGGGTGGGGGAGGGAGAGAATTGGAGAGAGTCTGGGTGTCAGAGGATCCTGGACGTGGCGGAGTGGGCAGTACAACGCGGCTGTGGGGTTGCCTTGGCTTTTAACTGGCACATCTTCTTCGACAGACCCTCCTTCAGCTTCCTCTCCACCATCGGTGCGGTTTCGTGAAAGCAGGTGGGAGGGGTTGGTGTGTCCATGGACTATTACTTTTAGGGATTTTGAAAAACATTGAAATGATTTGCACTATTTTGGCATCACTTGGGCTGTTAGGGCTTAGCTCTTTGTTTTTCTGTTTCAGTGTTATTTGATAAAAAGAACACTTAAAGTTTTAAGTGTTCCTCTCCTCATTGCCACAGATGGAAACTCAGTGTATCACCAAGTGATCCATCTCTGCGGGAATACAAATTACCTGTGCATTTCAGCCTCTTTGCACTTTGCCTTAGCTAAAGAGCCCCTGCTAGATACATAGTATTAGCAGGTGACTCTCTGGGCCAAATGCCGAAAAAGACAGATGTTTTACTTAAGTTCATTGAAAGGGAAATGTGAAAGGCACTAAAAGCCTGCTGGCCGGTCTTCTCCCCAAACTCCCTCTGGCTGAGTGATCTTGTGTATGTATGGGGAAGAGAGAGAGAGAAGGAAAGAGGGAGAAATGGAGAGAGGGAGATGGGGAGAGAGAGGGGGCGGGAGTGGGAGGAGAGAGAGGTAGAACAGAGAGAAGGAGGAGGGAGGGAGAGAGAGGGAAAGAGAGAGAGAGAAGGAGAGTGAGAGGGAGGGAGAAAGAGGAAGAGAGAGAGAGGGAGAGGAAGAAAAAAGGAGAGGGAGAGGTGGGGAGAGAAAGAGAGAGAGGGAGAGAGAAAAAGAGAGGGAGAGAAGGAGAGAGAGGGAGAGGAGATGGGGGTAACTTGGACTGTACTGGGACTTTCTGTTCCAAGGTGGGCTATACCACCAGCCAAGAACTTCCAGTCTTTTAAAATTCCCTCTGACTCTCACCTGAAAGGTTAGAGGTGGGAGAAGTAGGAAAGATGCTGACTAAACCATTTTCCAAAGCCATGTTCAAAGAGCATAAGCTTGGGAACAAACACCGGACTCTTTGTTGTTGTTGTTCGTCTTAATTGTCTTGTGCTTCTTTTCCCTCTAAAAGCCTCACTTTACCACAAGGGACGTGAATATCAATCAACCTGGTAATGGAGTCCCCTCAGATGGCAACTAAGAACCAGCTCACCAATTAGCTGTGTCACCTGTCTGTGTGTTGGTGTCCACCCACGTCAAAGCTATCTGTACAGTGCCAAGAACGATTCGGATTTGAGAGATGAATATTGTCAGTGTTTGGTGTGTGTTGGGAGGAGACTAGCTGTTGCAACATCACGGATGATTGTCATCCCCACCGTGATCCTGCAGAGATTTTGCGACAGAGATGTTCAACCGAGAAACTGTTCTCCGTTTTCCCGAGTGCACAGTGGTGATGTTAAGTACTTCAGTTAGTGCTCTGATTAAAATCTAAATGGCTATCACTTTCAGAGAAATGTCCAAATTTCTTTACCCTGTTCAACAAGGGATGGAGAACACCACCACTTTGGGACGTATTTTAATTTTCTTTTGTGTTCAGGCTTTCTATACAAGTTACCTGGAGCAAATTAATTAAGCCGGAAGGGCTTTTATGAGCCTGATTTGATGGAACTCATCTTAAAATGCCTGAGGATCCTTCAGAGAGGGGACTGTTCCTTTGAAGATGAATTACCATGAATCAGGAAAGCATTCTGTTGTTGTTGACCTCACTGTGTGCTGGCAATCTAGGGCTGGGCCAGGAGGCTATGATCTTGCCCTCAAGCTTCTTTGATGTGCACAGACGCAAAGAAGGTGCCCTTGGAGTGACAGGAGGGTGACTTCACGGGAAGTGAAGAGCTCATTGTCCTCTGTACGTTGTGATGACTTCTCGGGTAGCTTACGGCAAAGAGAACCTTTAAGCAAGAACACTGTGTGAATGTCCAGCTCTCAGATTCCGAGTCACTAAGAAGTCCCGAACTTGGGTGTCAGTTCCAGGGGCCGGGGTCCCTGGAAGTCTGCCAGGCTTCTCAGAGGGTAGTTTCAACAGGAGTGAAGGCACATACAATTAATTCTCAACAAAGAGACTGTGCCACTGACACACAAAACACATTGTATGGTTAAGTGCACATTTCAAGGGCCTCTGAATTGTTGAGAGAAAATGTCTTGTCCAGAGAGTGACTGGAATCAGGTTCCTATCTGCTGCTCCTGAATTACTCGATTTTCTCGCTGTTGCATTTAAATGATGTTTAGAAATCAAGTGTACAAATAGGAGACACGAGCTGCTTCTGTGGAAACAAAGTGGGAATAATTATTACTTTGTGTTCTGAGCAAAAGAAGGCTAGACATTCTAATTCTGGAGATCTAACAATGGAAGTCAGAAGGAATAAAAGTTCACTGGGGGAAGGAATATATCCTAGGGCAGAAAGGAGATCCGAAAGCTGATTTGCGGGACGTGTCCTTATTTATTCTTGAACATGACATCGACAATGGTAAACGCTTTATTTTAAAGACTGCCTACGTTGAGTCGTGCACCTATAGGTTGTGCATTTTGCCTTCGGAATATGCTGTGGTGAGCTAATGGCTACTTTCTGGCTGTTTCAAGAGGAAATGGAAAGTTTCAGTCACTGTTTAAGTAATGGAACCGACAATTAAACTGCAGGTGACCAAGTATTCCCTTGGCTCTGGTTGTGAAAGTCGCTGTCAAGCACAAGAGGGAACAGGAGGGTTTGTTTCATTAAGGGTATTCATGTCCCCTCCACTCCTACCATGTCACTGCTGGGTCCAATGTGACCCAGGGGAGGAGGAGTCCAAAATCCATGCACTCAGCAACAGGAAACTGTGAGCTGAGCTGGGAGGGCCCTGAGAGACCCCTTGGTCTCCTTGGTATCATGCAAAGTCCCCAAATGGGAAGAGCCTTGCCTAACGTCATAGTGCTGACCGGAACGGAGTGGGGCTGAAATGCAGATCTCTGGACACCCATTCCTGTGCTCTTTTCATTTTGCAATGGGGCTTTTTACCCCCCTGGAAACCTAGAAAATGAAATTCATTCACTTAATAGACATTTATTGCTAGGCTCCTGCTAGATATTGGGAGATGTGATATGAAGGGAAACATAGGGTGTCATGAGCACTTAGGGCCTGGAGACTTGATCCAGTCTAGGGGGTTAGGGGAGACTTCTCCCAAGAAGTGTTTGAATTGTGATTGGAAGAGAAGAATGGGGGGGGCTGAATGAAAATCAGGGGCAGGTGAGGGTGAAGGGGGGAATGGTGCGGGGTGGTGGGGGGAATGTTCCTAACAGAGGGAGTAACTGTGCAAAGGCCCTGAGACCACGAGGAGTTTGGTGTACTTAAGAACTGAAGGAGAGCCGCTATGGCTGGAATGCAGGGGCTTGGGCAAGAGGGGGTGGGCAACGCCAGACCACATGGACCTGCCTGTGTGAGCACAGGAAGACATTTGGCTTTTATTTTAAGGCCAGTGGGAATCTCAAGCAGGGATCTGCCATGATCAGATTTTCATTTTAACGTCATGAGGCTTTCAAGGTCATTGGGCTCCAGAAGAGCCAAAGAAGCAGCTTAGGCCAGGGTGGTGGGGGTGGAGATGGAGAAGAACGGGCAGATTCGAGAGAATCCGGGGATATGCCTTCTCTGTCCAGCATGGCCAGCTGGTATTTCAATGTCCATAGAAAATGCTGGATTGGCTACCTAGCCTGGAAAGGCGAGTCGAGGGACCTCATGAATCATGGCAACCAGGTGGCCGGGCCGCCTTCCTTTCTTGCTCACAGAAGCCTTGGAGCCTTGATCCTCCTACACCACAACCATTTCTTTCATCTGTAGCTCTCCAAATATTTTCCCAAGATGCTCCAGCATGGGAGGGGCAGGGCAGACAGCTTGGCCTGCCATGAAGTGACTTGAAAAGTCCCCGAATTTTACCGTAATTGCAAACTTTGAGACAGCCGAGGTGGATCGGTGGTGGTCGTTTGCCGCAAAGTGAATGGAACTCAGAGACAAGACTGGTTTGGGAAAGTGGTCACGGCTCCTCTTATTCCCGGCACATTGAAGGAGAACAGCCCCTCCTCCCTGAGTACCTTCACCTTTGACCCCCTCAGAATATAAATTTTTACTGCCCATTCAGGCTTTAACATACTTTTTCTAATCAGTCAATTTGTAGGTGTTTATACATGCTTCCTATAGCAATATAATAACTAGGAGTTATGGAGCACCTCCCGTCTGCCAGGACTGCTCTAAGCCATTCATGAGTAACTTTACAGATGATGAGCCTGAAGTTCAGAGAGGCGCTCTGTTTGCTGAGCCAGTGCTCCAAGCCACCACAGTGTGCTGCCCTGCTCATACCTTCTCGTGGGTACACGGAGGTGCAGGTGCTGTGGAGAGAAATGCGTCACCAGCCATTTTCCAAAGAGTATTCACCAGACTTAGGAAGCTTTTCACATTAGCGGGGCCGAGGGTTTTCCTTCTGTCCTTTCCTCTCGCCTCTGATTTCCCCATTTGACTCCAACGTTCGCCATCTCTTGAAATTTCCCCTGTGACCGATCCAGTCGCTTCTTGGAACTCCCCAACTTTCCCCAACGCATCTTTCTCCCCCTCCCGCGCTCACACACGTGTGCACGCCCACACGCACATGCACGTGAGAGACCCTTCCTCTGATGTCACCACAGTGGTGGGGTTTGTGGTGGCCTGGAGGGAAGGGATTGGGATGCCCTAAGTCCATGCAGGTTTTGCCTCATCAGACGATGGTCCCCTTGTGTTGGCCTCACTGTAACGTAGGCGTGGCTTCTCAGGAGGGGGCAGTGCTTATGAAACAAGTGCTGGGGTCTTGGGGGGACATGCGGGAGGACTGAGGGTCCCTTGCTCTCTCTTATATTCTCACAGGGCCTGAGATTCTCTGCTCGGAGCTGGACTCTCGCTTACTCTGGGCCGCTCCATGGTGGAAGGCCGAGGCAGCTCTGTAGAATGTTTCTTTTTTTCTTTTCTTTCCTTTTTTAAAATTTCCTTTTTAAAAATTTTATTTTTAAATGTTTATTTTTTGAGAGAGAGAGAGAGAGTGCACAAGCAGGGGAGGGGCAGAGAGAGAGAGAGAGAGAGAGAGAGAGAGAGGAAACACAGAATCTGAAGCAGGCTCCAGGCTCTGAGCTGTCAGAGCAGAGCCCAATGTGGGGCTCAAACCCATGAACTGTGAGATCATGACTTGAGACGATATCAAGAGTCAGATGCTTACCTGACTGAGCACTCCTGCAGAATCTGTTCCTTGAGCGGAATCGGGGAAGTGTCTGTTCTGGGGACAGGCTGGATATCCTTGTTAGATTCGGGGGCCACCCTCAAGGCTGCTGGCTTCCCAGAAGGAGCAACCCCTCAGAGGACTGGGGACACTAGAGGGTTATTGGCCAGCCCAGCTCTCTCTCCTCCCTGGAAGCTTGTACTCCAGTATCTGGAGGTGTCTGTTCTTCAGCACCCTGGGTGCCCTCTGGTCACCTCACAGGCACGTCTAGTTGGCGAAGTGGGATGCAGCCCAGTGGCCATCTCTCCCCAGCAGGACAGGCCTGACCTCCATGTCGTCGACCTCTTGTCTGGGAGAGGAGCTGTTTCATGGGCAGGGGCTTGTCAGAATCTCCGAGTCTGATGCTTTTTATCCTCAGCCCTGGGCATAAGAGGCTGGTGTCCCACGCAGGCCCCCAGCCTGGCTAAAGTGGACAGTCTCGATCGTCCTTCTTTCCGAGGAGGAGAGCCCTTCTTGCCCACCCCAACTCCATCGATTAAATTCCACTTCTACCCGTTGACTCTGAACTCAAACCTCTCCTCTTTCTAAAGCCTCTCTGATGGTTCCTCATTTCGCTGATTCTGGGCCTTGCCATCTGTACCCCTGTTCTGACCCTTAGCGTGGCCCGGCCTCAGACGATGGGCTCAGGAAAAGCAGGGCCTGAGTCTCCTCTTCCTGTGCGCGGCCGGCCCCTCGAGGGTGCTTGATCAAAGTTCATTCCTTCATTCTCCCTTTCATCTGGGGAACATTTCCTGCCTACCCCCAGCCTCATCCTCATGATCCAAGCCACTAGAATCGCGGCAACATCTCACTGGGTCACCAGCCTCTTTGTTTCAAGGGGGAAACGGGGGTTCGGACAGCAGACAGCTCACAGCGGCCAGCTCTGTGTCCTCTCTTCATAGCCCTCCGCGGACACGCCTTCCGCTCCCGCTTCTGCTTCTGCTGTGTGGGCTTTGGTTTCTCCTTCAGGCCTGTCGGCTTCTGCTCTCTCTGCTGCTGCTTTCTTCCCAGTTACTTATTCTGCTTCGGTTTCTCTTTCCACTTCTACTACTTGCAATCCTCTCCCCACTCTGCTTCCCCCTCCTTCCTCCTCTCTCCCCTCTGCTTCCTCCTCCTTCCTTCTCTCTCTCCCCCTCTGCTTCCCTCTCCTTCCTCTTCTCTCCCCCCTCTGCTTCCCCCTCCTTCCTCCTCTCTTTCCTCCTCTGCCTCCCCCTCCTTCCTCCTCTGTCCCCCCTCTGCTTCCCCCTCCTTCCTCTTCTCTCCCCCCTCTGCTTCCCCCTCCTTCCTCCTCTCTTTCCCCCTCTGCTTCCCTCTCCTTCCTCTTCTCCCCTTCCTTCCTTCT